CTGCACTGACAGATAAATGGTTTTGATGTATGGGTCGGAAATCCTCACCTCACTGAACAGAATTCAGCTATCATCATGGTGAGCAGAGACCAGGAGCCACATATGTCTCTCTTCCTTCATCTGGCGAGCCAGCCAGGCACCTCTGTTTTCAAAAGAGAGGTGGCTTTTCTCCGCGCTGGTCAGGTTTCCAAAGCAGAGCCAAAACTTGTACGTGAACTCCTGGTCTACCCCTCACCTTGCCCAAGCAGGCAGGACTAACATCTCATAATTCAGAGAGCTGACTGATCCCTCCTCGCTGGCAAGCAGAACTCTTTATGTGACAGCATTATTACTTTCGGGAGGTGGTTTCAAACAGGCTACGTACCTGGCTGTTTAACAAGGCTTTCCTTTCAGGCTCTGCAATGTTCAGTGATCCACAGTGCCACTTTCACAATGCTAACTAAAGGTGAACACTGCTTTCTCATTTAGAGGCTGGAGTGGATGAATAGACAGAACACGGCCCTTCCCATATTGGTTTAACAGGCTCTCGGTTCCCAATCATGAGCATCTTAGGGACAGGAGAGGAAAAACCCGACGTTGCTGGATTAGCCGATACGAGAAAGACTTGAAGTATGTAATGGATAAATGATGTGCAGAACACTTCTCATGCCATTAAGTCAAAATAAAGTTTAAAAAAACCACACAAGCTTCAGATCAGCTTCTGTTCAACAGGGAAAAAACAGTCTGAACGTTTGGGGCCACTGAAGTTGGTGGCTCTGCTGTCTCCTCTGCCATCTGTAGAAGCTTCTAACCATTGTAGGATGCTTCTCTGAACTTAGACCCCAGTCTCTTGTCCAGGATGTATGTTGGTTGTCTGAATTCTGGTTTTGTTCTGCAGTTGCCTTGGAGAGGTCGAAATTCTTCTCCCATGGGTAATTCAACAGAAACACGTACCCATGCAGAGAAGCAGGCAGGACACTGGGCAATCTGCTTTCTGCATGGGTATGACCACACTCAGGCTTGGCCAGCCCCATATGTAGATGCAAGTGCCGGGAAATGGGCTGACTGCACACCAAAGATGTGGTCTCTTGGGACTGGCATAAAACACTGTAGATGATGCTTTGAAGAGATGCCCAGCACCTGAGATAGCACTCCCCTAAACCATCTGGGCTGATTTGGGAAAGGACAGAGTTTTGGCCTTGGGTTTCGAGGGCTCTTCTTCTTTGAAGAAGACATTTTAGAATACTGATGGCAGAGACGTTTGCCAGTGAGCCGTTGCACTACTGTGTGGCGTCAGACCAAGGGGCTCCTTGAGAAGGAACATGTTCTGGGGGAGAGCAGAAACATGGCACTTCTCAGCGATGGGACAGCTGTGTCCCCAAGCTTGGCATCTCCAACCAGCCTACATTGCTGACCTGCTCGGATTGAAGAGGCTGAGCTGATGGGGACCAGTGCTTAGTGGTGGGTGAGCGTCATATGCACCCATGACCTCAAGTTTTGAGTTCCCTTCTTTATTTGCATTACTGGAGCCCAACCAAGATTGAGGCTTCATTTCGTCAGCATTGGGCACACAGAGACAATACCTACCTCAATTTTATTTACAGTCTAAATAGACAAGACAGACAAAGGGTGGAAACAAAAGCTCTGGAGAGGTTATGTGACATGACCCGGTCACCCAGCAGGAGATTAAGAGAGCCAGGAATAGATGGAGGTTTCCTGACTCCCATCCCAATGATCTATCTATTGGAGCACGCTAATTCTTTCTCCCATTTGAATGCTGTGACTAGCATGCCAAATACTGTCTAGTTGAGGGGATCTGAGTTCTGGGAAACACATCCTTTGGTTGCTAATGCTTCAGGCTAGAAATTTTGGGACATTTTAATGTGAGTTAAAATACAGCTAGTCTCAGAAATTGAGTAAACTGTTTATTTTGGTGTATCTATTTAATTTCAAGTCTCCTTGGAGTTTATTTTACACTGACTGTGTATTTCTGTCTTTCATTCCCTCGCTGATTTTTGAGCAGTGCATTGTGTGTCTGGTGAGGATAGTTGGTGGTTGGAGTGGGTAGTGTGGGGAGAACTGAAGACTTTGGCATACAAGAAGGTGGAGTTCACCTGTATTTCTGCAGCAGTGTTGCTGGAGCAGGCAAAATACAGCTGTGATAGCTGAAGAGCCAGCTACTCATGCAATGACTTTGACATTCTAGCTTCTTGAATGGCAGCAACAATAATCAGAAAGTTGCTTTGGGTGATGTGGCCGTGAAATCCTTTAATTTACGGTGACCTTTGTTTTTTTCACTTGTGAACTTCAAAGGTTCATGTCAGTATCAGTGCTTGAGCACTGGCTAAGTCAGGGATCTGGGGCCTTCGACAAGTGTAAGGATGATTAGGTTGGTGCCTGTGATTCTCAGTGCTTGATGCATAAAATAGCCTCTTGGCTTATTGCAGAGGAATGTTTTGAGAATAAATATGTTACTTTAAGAAATGCAAAGATTTACAGCAATAGAAGGCATAGAAATACATGGAAACAGATGGATTCATACATGGCCATGACCGTGGTTGTATTTCCCCCTTTCAGTTTGTCACTAGTATTTCTGTGTCGGCTTTATCTTTATTGTGTTGAGTCTATAGGACGTTACCTGTTGTATTTTCTCATTTTGCCTGTACATCAGGCAGGGACAAGCTCCAACCTGATCTTGCTGTGTGGTTTAAAAAAAAAAAAAAGGTAGTAATGTAATCTGTGGGCAAATTGCACTTTAATTCGTAATTGTGCTATGAATATGGACTTGGCTTTCAAACGCACTCTGAGTTTAAACTGCAGTTTGACTTTTATTTAGATAAATGCCTTTGAGTTCATAGTGAAATGGATATCTGCTGTAGGCTGGTATTGATTTAAAGGTCTCTTGAGTGTTTTAAAAGACAGTAGGGGCTTACAGGACAGCATATTTTAAAACTAGATGCTTGGTTAGGTTTTACACTCCTGTGTAGCTTCATGTCTAGATTCTGTTAAGAGCCAGCCTGTGGTGTTGATTTGTAGAGCCTTCTTTCACAGCAGGTATTGGCAAAAAATTGAACATTTCAGGCAAGATGCAAGGAGCTGTCTTCAGAGCTGGCTGGTCTGAAATGATGGGGAACGGTGTGCGCTTAAGAACTATCAAATAGTTCCCGTGTGCAGGGGAATGCTTTGAGGATTTCCCATAAATGCATTACAACTGGGTAGGTGATCAATAACTGCTTTTTAGCCCGAAAGAGGTGTTTATCGCTTCCTGCTAATCGTATAAACTTGGTAAGTTCATAGTCTTTCAAGTCTTGGTGTTTGTAAGTGTTGCTGTGGGCCTAGATTTCTCTTTGCATTACCACAAAATGCAGCGGGTTAGTACGAGCGATTCAAACAGGAGGTCTCCATCTATGCACTTCTGGCAGCTGCCCTTTTTTTGTGTCCGTCAGCTCTTGGGTCACATAGCATGGGTAAAAGTTCAGTAGGTGCCTCGGTGACTTAGGTACTGTTTACCTGTTTGGGCTGCAGATCTCCGTGGGTTCTGTGGGCACAGCTATAAAACAAAGAAAATATACAAACCAGGGAAGATTGGCCAGTTTTCTAGTCAGACTGGCTTGGTGGTTTGAATAAGCAGTTGAATGTTTGAGGGCTTATCTGAAATCAGACCATGAATCTTTTGGGTTGTGTTCAGAGGTGCAGTAAGAGGGTGTAACCTCCCTGCAGAGGAGATGGGAGGGTTGAATTTTACCCAGGATAATATCCTAGAGCAGGGTGTGGAGCAGGGTAAAATTAAAGTAGGTCCCCCTCACAATTTCCTTACAACTTACTGTGGTTGCTTTTCTGCTACCACCCATCAATTTACCTCCTCCCTCTTTAGATTACACACTCACAGGAACATGCCAACACTGCATACATCATGTTAATTAGGCCGTTTGTTAATTTCCGCATCATTAGTCACTTGGTCTTAATTGATCTGTGCTGTCCCAGTAAGTCCCTAGCTGCAGGTTTGACCTGTTGTGTGTGGTGTGCTGATAGTGCATATCCTGGAGGGGAGACTTTGCTGTCACACCATGTGATGCTACAGCAGAGGATGGCAAAGCTCTTGCTTGTGGTTTTTGGAGTCGGTGCTTTATTTGCATTATTTTGTCTGTTTGGTGTCCCTAGCAATCCTTGCAAGGCGTTCCTTCCAGCAGCATATTCAGCTCTGGCTGTATTTCCAAGCAGGGGTGTCCTGTGAGGCAGGTCTGTTCTCCCACCAGGCTGTTTTCAGATAATACAGCACAACCCATTTGCTATCTGTCAGTGAATGCTATAATGCGATCTAGATTTGGACTGTCGGGTACTTGGAAAGCGTTGGTTGGGGTTGTTGAGGACCAAAGCGTGTACTACTGCGTGACTGGCTGAAAGCTGTAATCTCCGATTTTTTTTTTTTTTAAAAAAATAATGTAGTGATATCATAATAATATCCTTGTTAGAAAATGTAGAATATATTTTATGTTTACACATAGTAAGCGTACATATGCATATGTGTATATTTTGTATGTAACACACAGTAGTATAGAAAAATACTGCATGTGAATATAGCTATAAAATATTTAGCAGAAGGTTTGTTGATTGTTTCAGTTCAGGCTTTAATTTGTCAGGAAATATCCTATTCATCTGTGATTAGTTTTGTGGTTGTGAACAACCAATGGAAGAATAATAAATGTAATGGTGTAATATAAAGACAAATTAAAACCACACTAATGCAAAAGAGGAAAAAGCTTAGGGGGAGAGCTAGATAACGTTTTGATCATGGAACTAAACTCACTGACTCATATTCAGAGGAAAAGTGCTGCTCTGCCATGTTTTAGGGCTCTTGTTTTAAAAAAAACCCAACCAAACGAACAGCAACAAATCCAAACCCAAAGATAAATACCCCAACAACGCACCCTCCCAGTGCAATCCAGAATAATTAAGGCGACTGTGTCTTGCTGAGTACAGTAACTGCAGAATGCTGATCCCACTGTCTTTTATCTTAACAGAAACCTGAGCTACAACAAGTTGACGGAGATTGATCCTTCTGCCTTTGCAGGGCTGTCGAACCTGCAGGAAGTGTAAGTATGCTTTCAGAGGTTCTAATTGTGTTTTGCCAGGGCGGCTTGTGGGCCAGGAGGAAATTGTATATAGTTTCCTAAGACAGCACTTTCCTTCAGTTAACTGGAATGAGCAGATATGACTTGGTGTGGAGGGTTTCTTCCCTCTCTGTATTGTACCTGTGCTGGTTTTTTTAAACCAATCAATTAGCAGAACACAATAGTTAACTGGAATGAGCAGATCTGACTTGGTGTGAAGGGTTTTTTCCCTCTCTGTATTGTACCTGTGCTGTTTTTTTTAAACCAATCAATTAGCAGAACACAACATCCCAATTAAAACAGCATAGCTGTTATTGGAAATCATTGGAGTTTGCCTCCCTCAGTCTTGTGCAATGCTCTGAGGGAGCAGTTCAGCTAACACACCTGAACATACACACAAAGCTCCTTGCTGAAAGGATAACCCTGAAGCAAGGCAGAACAACCTGGATTGTGATACCTGATGCCAACCTAACCCAAATCTCCCAGGAAACAAAGGTGTAGTGTAGTGGATAACAAAGCAGTTAACTGTGTCTTCTCCTTTCTCAGACATTTGTGCTCCTTTTGGAACCAGAACAAATTCTGTTTGAAGTCTGCTAGGAAAGGCTAAAACAGCAGAGCTGTCTTCTGCTTTGGTGGGGGGAAGAGAAGGAGCTGGTGAAGGTCTGAGTGGCTGTGCCAGACCCCCCCTTGCTGGTAAAAGAAACCTTGTTTGGGGAATAGTAGGATTTCCTAGCATCTGATCTGTGTAAACGCTCGGCAGTTAGGCTTGCAGAGGGGCTGTGCTTGTCGGCTATTCTCTGTGATTCCTGGAGTTCGGATTTGGGGTTTTGAAAAACGAAAGTGACTGAAATTGCAAGCGGTGGGTTGAGGTAGCGAGCTCGTGTTTGAATGTTGAATCGCTGGCATACTTGAGGTTTGGGCTCTGTTTGAAGAGCTACTGATGCCTCATGGGAAACTGAAAAAACATTTCCTTTCAGAAACAATACTGTGCTCTGTGTGTACTGTGCATTTTCTCTTGTCCTCTGTCAATTTTCATTAAGTGTTAGCTCTGAGGCTCGTGGAGGGGCCGGATCCTGTGATTCTTACATAGGCAATAGCGTTTGTTACAGTGGGAGTTCTGCCTGACTGATGCCTGCAGGATTGGACCATGGGACCATGTAGCATCTCTGCCCCAGCCTGATGGCCTCTGGCTCCTCTGCTTATACTAATAGTAGAGACTTGCTAGGGATCATGATTAAGTGATAATATGCATTAGGAGTGACTGCAGTGCTCTGAAATCAGTTCGTCATGATCATCCTAGAGAGCAGTCAAGGAGGGGAGAGAAAGTGATGCAGATCAGCAAAACGCTGCCCAAAGGATCTGTTTTCTCAACTTTTCTTTAAACTGTGGAAAGCCTTAAATTACTCTGTGCTTAAAGAGGAGGATTGCAGCCCTGATCCCATGAGACTTTAGAATTATCCTAACATGGTTGTGGCTTAGCAATAGCTTTTATTTGTGGAAGTGCCTGAAGGCATGTGACTTCAGGGAGCGTGGGGCTAGGAAATGTGTGTGGCATCCGATTCCTTAGGTAGGCAGCTCTCTTGTGCAAAGTGCTGCACGTGTGGAGAGCAGGACAAGTCAGCTGCTAAAAAACTATGTCAAGGTTCGGGGGAGGTAAGTAATGCAGCCCGCAAAGTAATGGTGCAGATAAGCCCTGCTTGCTGTGTCAGAAAGGCAGGGTTAGGGAAAAGGGTGAGAGCAGAGGAGTGAGTAGGAGGGGAAGGGAGCAGTCAGAAATGGGAGACTGGAAGGGAGGCAGAGGTCTGGAGCAGAGCCTGGAAGGCAGACTCTGGAAAGTGTGAGAGAGAAGCTCTATTAAAAGCCCTATCTACCAATCTTGGTTGCTTTTGAATAACAGCTAAACCACAGACCACTGAAATAAACTGCGTTTCACAAAGAACCACATCTGTACTGCCAGAGCATCTCCTTTCTGAGGTGTTTTTTTTTTTTTTAGCACTTTACAAACATTCATGAAATAAGCATCATGCAGTGGCATGTCTTGAGAGCAATTCAGTGTTTTGCTGCACTGTGCTGGGCAAACCAAGGCACCCTCAGGCAAAGAGGTTGCCCCAAATAATAGCTGCATTGATAGGACCTGAAACCTCCCATGATGCTTCAAACATGGTGCCTGTGGTTCCTGAGCATTACAGATGAGGCTCAGAGCTCTGTGTGTGTCTCTTCTGTATGTGACTAATTAGTGCAATATATTTTGAAAACCTTTTGTTTTGCCTTGTTTTTAAGAAAATGTCTGCAAACCAAAAGATCGACTTTATAGCTTATCTTGGGTGCTCTGTTTTGCTTTACTGAGATTGTAATAAAGTAATAGCTGTATTTACCCTACGCATTTTCCTTTCCCTGGGTTTAGGCAGTTGATTGTGGTGAAGTTTTTTTTGAGAAGCTTTTTTTCCTAAAGTTTTAAGTCTGTGCGGGATGAAATTTAGTGACTGAAAGTGGTATGTAACCCTGTGATCCCACATGCTCTGAAATAAGTGGCTTTGTGCTGATGGAGGCTCAGGCGGTAGGGGCTGGAGAGGGACATTATTTTCCTCGGGACACCTGTGGTTTCTCTGATCCCCTTTGGTGGCTCTGTCCTTGATTACAAGGGTGGGATGGAGGGTGCTGCTGTGGGGTAGACCCTGTAGTCCTTTCTGGGGTTTCCTCGGGTCAGATGGATCATGGGATCCATGAAAGTGCTGGCTGCATGGCTCTCAGGTTTTCCAGGCTCATTTGTAACAAAGAAGTAGTAACTGTGCTAAAATTCCTCTCCAAACAACTCACCTTTTATTTTCTAAAGTGCCTTTCACCGGAGGCTCTGGAGAGCTGTGCTATTTTTGAGCAGGCTCCATTTCAGCTTGACACCAGCCTGGCAACTGGACCGTAAATATTTTATACAGGCGGCCCCCCTCCTCCTCTGCCTTAGCATCCAGAGGCAGCAGGTTGGTGGTGTTGAAGGGGAGGGCTGGGGAGAAGAAAGGAGACTGAAAGTTTAAAACTGTTGAGCCTGGCTGCTTAGTTTTGGGGTGGTTTTGCTATTTTTTCGTTGTTGTTCCTTTACGTGGGGGAAGGGGAAGATGAGAGGGAAAGCCCAGACAAATACCAAGCTTGGCTGTCTCCTCTGCACTGGCAACTGGTGCCTGTGATCCAAGAGAGAAGATGAGGTGGGAGAACCACTTCTGACTGACTGCTGACCTGCCAGGAAGCTGATATATGAAAATCCTCACTTGGGTCAGAGGAGGGTTTGACCAGTTGTTAGATGCCGATTGGTGTTGGAGCAGCTTAGCCAGAGCTGACCTAGGCTAATGGAGGGTGGGCCTAATTCTCCTTCTTATCCCTGTGCCCTTCAAAAAGATGTTCAGTTGGATGTTATGAAGACGTGGCACAAATACAAGGATTTTAATATTCTTCCTAGCTTGCTTTGTGCCTTTGAAAGCTCTAGACCTTACTATAGTATGAGTAACAATGAGCTTTTAGTTGCAAAGTAGAGCTCCTTGCTGAATTGCAATGCATCTGGCTTTTTTTTTTTCCCCCTGTACATTTTAAGGTTCGGGTATAATGTCAGAGGCAGAGCTGAGGCAAGCTTTTATCCCAGCAGTAGTGCCCGAACTACTTAGGAAATCAAATATCTTGCCTGCTCTTGGAGGAGTCAGGAGGAAGTTTTGAGATGGACGTATCGCTGCACTCTCCCACCTGCCAAAAATAGTTTTAAAGGAAAGAAAGAACAACCGAAAAGCCCCACCATTATAATTTAGGGTTGCTCCAACTTGTGCCCACAGCTTAGCAAGGCTCAGTGGTGCTGTGCTCCCCTGCCCACTACGGGATGCTCTTGTTTCTCACACCCAAACTGTGGTCTTTCGAGATCCCCTTGCAGCCCCCCTGTGGAAGGGGAACGGTTTAAAGGCAGGTCGTGGGGAGAGACCCAGCGAGGCTCTGCATCAAGCAGTAGCCCATCAGAGGCAGCTGGGGGTCCTGGGGAGCTGCTGTGTGCTGCCCTGCTCAGCCTGGCAGGGGCTCGGCTTTAATCGCTTCGGCATGCGGCGGCAGGGAGCAGGGGAGCAGGCAAGATGGCTAAGAAATTAGGTAATTCTCAAGCAGCCAGACAAGCGACTGTTACAGTAATTAATTGACTAATTCACCATACAAACAAGGGCTCTTTAAACCAAGGAAGAGCCGGTCACATGGCAAGGATCTGTTTTCAGTCAGAAAAACACTTCAAACATTAGGCCATTGAAGGGGACATTTTTTGTACTGGCATTTCCAGGAGTGGGGCCCCGTCTGCAATCGCCATTAGGCCTGAGGGGCTGCATGGTGCTCCTCAGCCAGCTGGCTGGAGCAGGTCACCTGTTTTTGGTGGCATTGCTGTGCCCAGTACCAGTTTTTTTGTGTTGCTGGCTTTGTGGGGCTGCCCTTGTGGGATTTCCAGAGCTTGGCCTGGTGTGGAGAGGATGCCTGAGCCCGCCGTTCTGCACTGCCATGGCACCCTGCTGGGCCCCCATGCCCTGGCCTGGCATGGAGGGGAGAGTGGGGGCTGCCACTTGGGGAGGGAGTTAAGTTTGTCCTGAGGCAGTGGGGCTCGGCTGCCTCGTGGCTGTGGGTGCAAACAGGCTTGGCTCCGTGATGACTGGAAGCTCAGGCCGATGGAGGGCTGTGGTGCGGTGCCTTCCTTGGTGACACCTGACTTTGCTTAAGGGAGTGGGCGGAAGGGGAAAAAAAAAAGCCTTGCTTTTGTAAAGAAGATACTATGGGACCAATTATGGTGGCTGTTGTTTATTAAAGGTTTGGTTTGGGAGGCTAAGGTGGGACTGTCAGGGAGACCCAGCCAAACCCCTTGCGGTGGAGGCCTCTGCCAAAATGTCAGTGTTCCTGGAGAGCCAGGGGGTTTGTATAAGGAAGCGCCATGGCCGTCCACTGCTACCATGTGCTTGCTCGTAGGCTGCTTGCTTCAACAATCAATTTTTGTGCGTTGCAGGCGACTGAACAACAATGAGCTGACTGCCATTCCCTCCCTGGGACCTGCTGCTTCCAGCGTCCGCTCCCTCCACCTGTAAGTTGCTGCTGCCTCTTTTGGCTTTTGACTTCGGGCTGTTCATGGGGTGGGTTTAGCTGCTACCGACCAAGAAGTTTCATGTGTGTCATGCTCACTGCTGCTGACACCTGGTATTTCATTATCAAGCTTGCTGGCGCCTTAGTGAAGAAACGTCTCTTGGAGTCATGTGACTTGCACGAGGTTGGGCTTGATTAGTGTTGTGCTTATGGTCAGTGGTAACTTATGTTGGTAAACTCCACAGGTTAGCTGCATATTGAGTAAAATTATTTTTTTCTCATCTGCCTTTAGGTTTCAAACAGTATGTCATACTTGTGCTAGTGAAGGAGTATATAATTTAACTTTTCTTTATTGTTCTTTTTTCCCTGGCCACAGTCTGATAACTTCTTCCTCGTATATAATTTAACCTTTTCTTTATTGTTCTTTCTTTCCCTGGCCACAGTCTGATAACTTCTTCCTTTCTTTTAAAGCCGGAGACTATTCACATCTTAACCTTTCAGGGAACTTATTCCAGACCTGTTTTTATGGTCTCTTTCAACTACTTTTTTTTTCCTTTTTTTTTTTTTTTTTTTTTCCTTTTCAGTGATTCGTGATATAAGGGTAGATCTGCAGAAGCTTTGAAGTTCCTAACTTTGGTAGTTTAGGTGCCTGCAGAAGTGTTAGACACCTGAGAGCCCTTGTGTATCTGCCTCTGAGGATCTCGGGACACTGCTGAAGGGAATAGACATTATAATATCAAACCTCATAGTACCTTAAAGAGTGTAGATTTCTAAAATTATTTTTGCATGTGTCTGCTTGTAATGCACACCGAGAAGGAATTTTGCTGAGGTATGCATGATACCTCCCAAGTTCCTGTGAAAGGGAAGTGGTTATAGCTAATACGGACTCCAGCAAAGTGCTTGTGTGGTTCAAGCAATGGCTTCCAGTGTACATGGCCTTGCAGCATATGCCTGCAGGCAAGTGTCCATATTTACCATGGATTTGCTCCTCCTAGTAGTGGAAAATGCCTGTGTCCATACCACCAGGTGATTGGCCTCTTGTACTCAAAAGGCTCTGACTTACTCTGAGGCAACCTTGATCTGTTGACTAAAAGTACATTCTGATTACTTAAATCAAGGACAGAAGTGAGTGAAATGAACTGGCACTGTTCCTGCTCTTCCATTAGGCAGTGTTAAAATATGCAAAGCAGAGCTCCCTCACTGTCTTAATTCAGTTTAGGGATCTTAGCTTAAAATTGGTGTCCATATCTCTCGCTCCACGCATGAAGTGAGTTTAGCTTTTGTTTGAGTATGGAGCTTTTGATCTGGTTCTTGGGTGTACCATGTTTGTGCAGAGCTTATGAAGAGCCAGAGTGCTCCTCTGCTATCATCAGTGCTGGATCTAACAAGTGTCTCTATTAAATGCGTAAGTAACCACTTCACCTCCTGGGTGGAAGGAGTGGCTTGTGTCTCAGAAGTTATCAGACCTGTCAAATGTGTCACATGCAGTTGGTGTGAAACCAGCTTGTTTGATTTCTGCCGCAGCTTCTCCCTGCATACGTGACCACATGTGAAGTCTGGGTGTGCGATCTGGGGGCTGCTGGCTGCAGAGCAGGGCTGTAACTCCCTCCGAGCAGGGTCCCTTGGTTAAGGCACAGTCCGCTGACATGAGAGGCTATCTGCCTGCCACTGGAACTGAGCTACCAGGCTGTCACATAACCCAGTGTGTTATGCATTGGGATTCAAAAAAACCCTCCAGAAATCTGATTTATGGGTGGAAAGCTTGCATACAATTTACCATCCAGGATATAGTTTTAGCCCCCCACCCCGATCACCTTTTCTTTCTCACGAAGTCTATAAATGATCTGAGTTTCACAAGCCCCTGTTGTTGTTTTTGCTATTAATTCAGGTGTTGGCAAAGGACCAAATTGCTAAAGCTTTGGGGTTTTTTATTCCTGAAATGAAATAAGCAGTTTGGAAAGGAGGAATAGTGACTGGTGGAAGGCAGTAGATTTACAGCTCCTCTGAAATTTGAGTGGTGCAGAAGGAAGGGAAAGGTACAAAGCCAAATGATAAACGGACAGTATTCTAAACAGACCTGCTTAGTATCACTTTCCAGAAATCTGTATTGCTTTCCTCAGCTGCTGCACATAAATAACTCTGATAGTGGGATTTGTAATGCTGCTGTCATACCTCTGCAAGAAGGATCTCTTTGTTTAGCCTGTTTCAGAGAATGCCACTCTTTTCCCCTTGCATTTCCTTTTCATTTTTATCAGAGGTAAAAATAATCTGGAAGATGTTTTAAAGTACCTGCTTCAATCGATGTTGCTGACTAACTCATATTGGAATGACTTGCTGAGGAAGTGAAGCTTTCTCCATCCTTGGGAGTCTTTAAATCAACTGGATGGCTTCCTAAAACATGGTCTTCTAGTTCAACTCTAGGTTAATGGGCTTGATATGCAAATCGTTGGGTAAAGTTCTTTGGCCTTGTGTGACGAAAGGAATCAGATTATATGGTCATACTGGTTTCTTCAGGCCTTCAAATCTGTGAAGTAATAATTGGGGAGGCTGCCAAACCAAACCCAGGTTGAAGACTCATAATGAAGACTGTGTACTGACAAACTGGTCTGTGTTTAGGTATTTAGTGTTAGTGTATTCTTGCTGCTAAAGAAAAATAAATACATTTCCTTTTTTTTCTTCAGTGTTTAGAAATGTGTGAAGTGTGTTTACCTCACAAACCTCTGAAGCAGATTTTGTATATTGCATGTGGTTAAGTATTTCCAAAGGGCTGTGCATGTATTATAAAAGCAAGGGTTGTGTATTTGTCACTCAAAACAGTCCTTTTGAATGAGTTACTTCGTCTCCTACTCTTCCTAAACTGAGGAAGAGATTTTTTCTCCTTTTGGTGCTGCAAGAACGAAAGCTGTCATACTGCTGGACTCAAATTTTCTGAAACTTTTTTTTTCCAATGAGCTTGAGCATTTTGTGTTCCCTGTTTTTGGGTATCCCATACCTGTCTCCATCACCTAAAACCTGCTTGACCCTGCGTGTGTGTGGACCATGGGCCAGTTATATGTATATGTAAGCATGTGGGAATCTGTTGGAGAGTGACTTCTCAAGGCTTTCTGCAAATCTTCGGATGTTTCAGGCTGCAGATGGATGCAGGCATGTGTATCAAACGCGCTATGCCCTAATATACTGCCATGAAGTTTAGTTCGGTTTAATTATTCCTTGAAGAGTCAGTTTGTTTGCCTTGCACATTGAAAACACTGCCAAAGTCGTTCATCTCAACAAGAGCAAACATAAGGGACTTGATAAGGCTTTTAATAGAACAGAAGGGAAAAATAATCTATGTATGGGTTACCAAATAAAGACAGACATTAAATGCAAACATCTGTTACTGCAAACAAAAGCCAGGAAATTCAGCTGGGAGGGGGAGAGACTGAATCTGGATTCATTCCGAAATTACATCGGAGTAGCTGAGAGGAGAATTTTGCCTGAAATTCCCACAGCATTTGTAATTTAGCTACAGTTCCTAGACTTGGACATTTGGGAGTTGATGGCAGGATGTTTTCACTGACATGCTCTTGGCTGAGGATTTCCCTTCCCAATGTTCTGCTGCAAGTCAAGTGTGTTAACTCTCTAGGCTCTCAAGAAGACTCTGATACCTGATCTGATGGGGAAGGGGAGGATGGAAGAAACCAGTTATTTGCAGCAGAACTGAGTCTATTTATATCCAGCTTCCTCATGAGAGTCTCTTAGCCTGGCTAGCATGCCAGGTGAGAGGAGGAGCTGAGCTGCAATGAACTCTGCATTGGTCTGTTACTACAGGTTTCCCACAAACCCCTGTGGAGGTGCAAGCTCAGCCCTTACTCTGGGGCCTGTCTACCACTGCTTCGTCTACCTGCACGTGGGTCAATGCATCCTGGAGGGCTTTCGGGATGTCCGCGTGGGGCGATGGAGGTGGATCCTTGTCCCCTGCCCTGGCTCCAAGGTGGCCAGCCTGATTCAGTCAGCATCCACCGAGGCAGGCACGCCAGCACAGGCTGTTGTATGGCTGTAGAGCTCAGCGGAGAGCCTGCTAACCAGGCCTCTGATCAGAGCATGCTGTGCGCCACATCCTCAGCTGGCCAGGAATTAAGGAAGTTAACAGATTAAACACTTAAAAATAACTTTCTTTCCTTTCGCTGTAAGTCTTTTAAGCCCCCAGCCATTTAGGAACAAAGGGAATAGTGACCCACAGCAGTCAGCTGTATGTTGGCAACAGTCAAAGCTGTTTGAGGTGCATTGGCCCCATCATCTTGCTCTGAATAAGCACAGATAACAAGGAAGTCAGAATAGGGATTTTTGGAGCAAAAGAGTGTGAAATAGGATTAGCTGATTCACAGAGGATGCAATGATACCGGGCAGCATATTTACTGGGGAAAGCGAAATCAATAGGACTGCTCTGCTGCCAAACTGAGCATAGAAGTCTCTTGAAGAAAATCAATCTTCTTTACAGGCTCATTAATGTAAAGATCAGTTCACATTAAACTAATTAAACAGAGAGGGCTGATAGGAGAAGGGTAAGTGATCTACTGTGCCACAGGCAAAATATATAATGTAAAATTTGAAAACTAAAGACGTGGAGAATTGGAAATTGGGATTGGCAGGAAACATGCTATGTCTGCTTGAAAGGACTGTTGAGCTCAGATGGGGCAGCATGGCCCTCGTGAAAAGGAGGGTACTCTGTGGTATTCCATCTGGATGTCGGGTGTAAGACAGGTCAAAGACTGCAGCCAGTAATTTCTGCATCAGGAGTAAAGTTTACATTTTAATTGCATGGTTTTTTGGAGAGCTTTTTCTTTTAAGTGTTAGGGATTTTGTTATAATGCTGATTAAATTAGTCACATTGTTACTGATGTGACCCTTGTTTCTTGTCTGACTTTGACTTTAATTTTCATTGTATTTCGTTAGACCTTTGTACTGGATTGGAGTCGAATGGTGTTGGAGATCCCTAACTGGCAGAATTGGGATCATGCT